GGAATATTCTTAAGCAGCTAAAAATTAGATAGATTAAAATATCTTCTCATCACTATGCCTCCCAGATGTATTGTTACAGAAAAAAAGTCTGTTCTAGATGTATACAGCATGATCCTGCTTTAAATGATATATAGGAATACATGTAATATGTATAATATTATATGTCGGAAGAGACAAATTGACATAAAAGCCTCAGCAATGGACTCAAGTATAGCAACAATCACGAGGATGGTGCAGCACTGGACAGTGTTTTGTTCTGTTGTGCATTGGATTGATATGAGTCAGAACTGACAAGAGCACACCTAACAACAGCAATATATATAAATATGGTAGTGGTGGTGGTGGTAGTGTGCCGTGGAGTCAGTTCTGATTCATAGCAACTCTGTATAGGGTTTCCAAGGCTATAAATTTTTAAGGGAGCAGAAAGCCTCATCTTTCTCCTGTGGAACGACTGGTAGTTTTGAACTGCTGACCTTGAGGTTAACAGCCTGATTTGTAACTACTACGCTATCAGAGTTCCTTACATATAAATATACATGCATATAATATATATGTATGTATGTATATGGTGGTGGTGGTGGTGATGTGCCATAGAGTTGATTTTGACTCAGAGTGACCCTGTATAGGGTTTCTGAGGCTGTAAATCTTTCAGGAGCAGAGAGCCTCATCTTTCTCCTGAGAAGCAGCTGGTAGATTTGAACTGCTGACCTTGTGATTAGCAGCCCAATTTGTAACCCACTACACTACCTGAGCCCCTTAAGTATTTATATACATGGAGATAAGTAAGGAAGTATTGATACTATGGTCCTAGTTCATGCATTGTTGTTGTTGTTAAGTACCGTGGAGTCGGTTCCGAATCATAGTGACCCTGCACAGGGTTTCCAAGGCTGTAAATCTTTACGGGAGCAGAATGCCTCAGCTTTCTCTCGAGGAACCGCTGGTAGTTTTGAACTGTTGACCTTGAGGTTAGCAGCCTGATTCGTAACCACTACACTACCAGAGTTCATGCATGCATGGGTTTTTATTCCAAGACAAGTTCTCTCAGCAATACAGTAGTCTTAGTCTCCTCATTGTTGTTATTAAGTGCCGTTGAGTTGGTTTCAACTCATAGCAACTCTGTATGGGGTTTCCAAGGAGTGTCTAGTGAGCTTGAACCACCGACCTTGTGGTTCAAATGACCTTGAAGTCCAGCACATTAACCTACAGTGCCACACTGCCTTCAGGACGAAGGTCCAATCAAAGCAGCGTCTTCCAAGTGGATCTGCTGGGCCAGTTCAAGTCATCAGTGATGATGACTGAATACTGGGATTCTGAAGGCATTGTCTTGTTAGATCTTCTCAAAGGACCTAGGGTGGTCACAGGGCTTACAAAGAAGCTTTAAGAAAACAGAAAGTTGCGTTGGTGAGAAAAAGGCCAGAGAGCTTGCGCTGAGGATTGTTTTCCATCATGACCCTGCATCTGCTCATTCTTCAAGGGTACCAAGGGCTGTCCTATGAGAATTTCACAGGGAAAACTTACCCCATCCACCCTACAGTCTTGACCTTACCCTTTCAGGCTTATTTTTGTTTCCCAAACTCAAAGTACATTTCAAAGGAACCAATTTGGGTCCCTCAAGGATGCCCAAACTGCCATTTTGTTGTGACACAAATCAAAGAATTCTGCTGGCAATGTTTAAGCGGGAAGGACTAGAGAGATGAAATCAGCACATTCGGAAGTGTATAGACCTAGATGGAGGCTGTGTCAGGTGAGAATAGCTTTATATTTTGATATTTTTGTTTAATAAATGGGTCTATGAATTTATAGCAATACTTTTTGACTTGCCAGCATATGGAGCACGTGTGTGTATACATACATACATGCATGCATACATTAATGGAAGGAGAAAGGAGACTCAGCTTGAGGTAATAGGGCACACAGTTTAAAAGGAGTCCAGCTTTTTGCTACACCTTTTCATAATAAGAATGCATTTATTAATTACACATATAATTTAAAATGCAGTTTAATACAACATTGTAGAATATGAAATGGCATAAAAAAATTAAATAAGATAGGTAAGTTACTTAATAAGAGATACCATTTTAATTAATACTTAAGTTTTTTAAAATTATATACAAACACACAACCATACACATGTATCCTTGTTGTTAAGTGTCATTGAGTCAGTTTCGACTCATAGCAACTCTACGTACGTTTCCAAGGAACGGGTGGTGGGTTTGCACCACAGACCATGTGGTTAGCACTCAAGTGCTTATCCTACAGAGCTACACATACACACATCTGTACAACACAGACACACACATATACAGCTTAGATGTCCAGACACCAAGATGTTACCAGCCTCACTTATCTGTACTTTCAATCGTTTCTACCAGATACATATGTTGTTTTTGTAGAAGGAAAGAGAAAAGACAGAAGCTAAGCAGAGGTCTTTTTAAAGCATGACCCTGAGCTGCGTGCTCTCTCAGGTCCTCCAGTCTCAGACCCCACTTACCTCCCTCCGTGCCCCCTGCCCAGCAGTACCTGAGGGTCTTCCGCTGCATGTCCTCATCTGTGATGCCATGATAGACCAAGGTCTCATTCCAGATGGGGTTCCGTGTGTTCCGCAGGGTTTTTGTACGAAGTTTGTTGGACTACAGTCCAGAGAGAGACAGACAGACAGACAGCAGCCTTAGCAAGGAGCCAGCATACATAGAGCCCATCTTTTGAGCTGCTTTGGGGTGAGTGGGTCAGTCCCCTGGTGTGTTCAAGGGCTCAGCTGATCCAAACACATGTTTGCAGGAAAGGGTGACCTTTATGACCAAGGCTATTGGCAAACAGATTAATGTTCCACCCTGACCCTCCCCATAACCTCTCCACTCTTTGGTCTTCCTCCTTGAACTGACAAGATGAATCAAAGACAGCTTCTTTTGAGAAAAAATATTTATGGAACACTAGCAACAAGCCCTGGTTGCATAGTGGGTTATGTGTTGGGCTGCTACTGCAAGCCAGCAGTTCGAATCCACTTAAAGATCTGTGGGAGAAAGATGAGACTTTCTGTTCCCATAGAGATTTACAGCCGATACAGGGGAACCTGTATTGGCTCTATTGGAAACCTGATACAGGGTCTCTATGAGTAGAAACTGACTCCATGGCATATAACCACCACCACCACCATATACATATATGTTGTTGTTGTTAAGTGCCGTCGAGTTGGTTCTGACCCATAGCGACCCTGTATAGGGTTTCCAAGGAGCAGCTGGTGAGCTTGAACCACTGACGTTGCAGTTGAAACAGCTTTGCAGTCTGAAGCATTAACCCACAGCGCCACACCAGGACTCCATATACATATAGCCAGATGTATATCATATGCATGTATATTTATACATATTGTTGTTGTTAGGTGCTGTCTAGTCAGTTCTGACTCATAGTTACCCTATGCACAACAGAACAAAACACTGTCCAGTCCGGCACCATGCTTGTGATTGGTATTTTACCCTTGAACTGACTTGACACAGCACATAGCAGCAGCAGTAGCAGCATTTACCCACTGCCAGACAGCGAAGGTACAATTTCTGGACACTAGGGGGCACTGTTACCTCAAATATATCATCCTTTAACTCCTGAAATTCCTTAAAGGGGACTTCAGTTTTCATTTTCTTCTAAGAAGAGGAGGCTGGAAATACAACTACACCCAAGATGGACAGCCTAGTGACAAGTTTAACTTACACTAATACATGAAGGGAGCCCTGGTGTCGTGCTGTGGGATAAAGCATTGGACTGCAAGGTCAGTTTGAACAGCAAGGTTGGTGGTTCAAACTTATCAGCTGCTCATAGGGTCTCTATGAGTCGGAATGACATAATAACAAAAGCAGCAACATGTGAGTAACTCATATCTGGTTCTGTGGAAAAACAGGTCTGGATTTAGGAATGGGCAAGGAGTCCTGGTGTGGTGCTGTAGGATAAGCACTGGACTGCTAACCACAGGCTGGTGGTTCAAACTCATCACATGTCACTTTTAAACCCTAGACAGGGTCATGATAAGTTGGAACTGACTTGATGGAGCTTAACAACACCAACAACGACAAGGAGCCCTGGCAGCTTAGTAGATTATCAGCTGGACTGCTAACCACAAGGTCAGTAGTTTGAATCTACCAGCCACTTTGAAAAATAAGGTTTTAAAGATCTATCGACTCGGTGGCACACAAGGGAAAGAGTCCCATAGGGGAGTCTCATAAGGGAGAGTCCCAAGGGGAAGCAAATGCCTCTGGAGAGTTCAGTTCATAATTTGGCCAAGTGAAAGTCTTTCTTTGATCCCAACAAAGAAATAGGCAGAGTGCGTGTGCCCATGGCTGTGTGCAGGTGCCCATGGCTGTGTGCAGGCTTGGATAGGTATCTTCCAGACCATTAGATACTTTCAGAAATTTTTAGAAGGCATTGCCTCAAGAAAACGTGGGCGGTCACCTGTGCTTTTAGAGCATCTATATCAAGGATCAACAGCTGAAACCCACTAGCCACTCTGTGGAATCCCTATACAGTGCAGCTATGAGTCAGAACCAACTTGATAGCACTTAATATCTGCAGGATAAGCACTGGCCTGGTAACCAAGATGTTTGCAGTTCCAAACCAGCCAGTCACTCTATGGGAGAAAGAGGAGGCTTTCTGCTCCCCTAAAGATTTCCAGCCACACAAACGCTATCCAGGGTTGCTATGAATTGGAACTGCCTCGATGAGAGTGAGTTTGCTGTTTTGGGTTTATGCCGAATTAAAGCAGCAGACTTATGGCATAGTGGTGAAGTGCTCAGCTCAGCTTCTAACTGAAAGGTTGGTGGTTTGAACCCACCAGGAGCGCTTTGTGAGAAATATTCCTTGGCAACCCCAGAGGACAGTTCTCCTTTGTCCTGTAGGGTCACTGTAAGTAGGAATCAACTCCATGGCAATGCTTTGGGGAGGGTTTATATCAAATGAATGTAACAAAGCAACAAGGCACACTTGTGTTTCCAGCCATGTGCTCTGGGTGGGCCAATCCAAACAGGGAAATGAACCCCATGTTCTCTTCCCCAAGCAAAGGAAAGATTATCAGGGGAGCTGGAAAGGGAGAGAGGTGGGGCACAGGGGTCAGATTTTCTCTCAGTAATGGGACATCCTCTAAAGTGCTCAGATCTAAAATCCAGGGAGAGAATTGTTCATTTTGATAAGAGAGTTGAGGGTTTGGATGGGGCATGGAGTGGGTGGGGTGGCAAAAGGGAGCCACTGCAGGCATTTGAGCAGGTGAGAAGCCTATCAGGGTACCTGTTTCTCTTGTGCATATTAGGTTTCTGGATTGGAAAAATGGGCAGAGTCCCCCAAGGAAGCATGACTCCTGGCCCACCTTTCCCTCCTCAGAAGGGCTCTGCCATACATGGAGAGGCTTTGGGACACATAGAGTTATTTTAGGCTCTGAGTGAGGACCCTGGGTACATGCCAGGGTCTGTGTGCTCAACCTGCAGAAAGGCTTGGGCCATATGGTACCTTGCTGGCTCCTGGCAGGAGGTGCAGCTTCACGTAGGGATCAGCCAAGCCATTGGAATCCATGGGCTTCAGTCCCTGCAAGAGAAGGAGGCAAGGGCAAGAGGGCTTCAGCTGCCAAGGCGATGGGCACAGCCTCAGGTGCCTGCCTGTATTGGTTCCCTAGAGGCTTCCTATTCCAAAGAGAGAGGAGGAGGAGCAGCACTGTGGAAGGAGATCTGGAATTAAGTAGACAACGTCCAAAGCCAGGTCATGCCACTTCCTGATTGTGTGACCTTGGACACATTTCTTAACCTCTCAGAGCCTCAGTCTGCTCACCTGTCAAAAACGAATGAGAACAGCACCCACTTCACGAGGTGATGACATTTAGTTGAGATACCCCTGTAGGATGCTTGGTTCAGTGCCTGGCATGTACTAAGTGTTCCATTAAGGTTCCGTTAATGCTAGGAGGGGAGAAGAGGTCTCAGAAGAGGAAGGTTGAGCAGATGAGGCTGGGCACACCTAGGCATGAAGGGATAGAGTAGCTCATCACCCCTCCCACACACACAGCAGATCACACAGTTGGGAAGCAGCAGAGCTGGTCTTTGAACCCAAGGAGTCTGGTTGCTGAACCCTTGCTTATTCTTCAGTGTGGATCAGACTCAGGGCAGGAGGGTGCTGGCTAGTTACTGATGTCTGGATGAGGGGATGTACATGTAGCCTCACCAGCCCCTCAGAAGCCCATGCTGGTCTTCTTGGTGTCTGTGACTGGACTGCCACTCTGGTATCATGGCCACACAGCAGATGGAGCCAGGCAGGCACCATGATGTGCTCAAGTGCATGTGTGTGAGTGTATGCATGTGTGAGTTTGTACACAAGATGAGGATGTTCATGGCCAGTCCCACTGTCAGTTGGGCTGTCTGTAGCCCATTGGTAGTGCCCCCAGAGATGATGGGAATGGCCCTAGGAGGATCCTGGCTCTATCCTGAGATGCTGGCTGCTTCGGCTCTGATGAGGCCCCTGCAGTTAAGCAAAACCCTCTGGGATGATCCCCAGAGGAAATCTCTTCCTGAAGGAAGATGCCAGGGCTAATTCCTGCCCTTTCCTCATCACCATCACTATCACAGATGGACCTGGCAAAGGCATGAGAGAGGCATGGCAAGCCTTCCCTCCCCAAGTCCCCTAGAATGACCACACAACTGAGTGGTTCCCAGCCTGACCCCTCACCCACCTTGGCCTTTATGATGGTGCACTGCAGGGAGCTGTTATCCTGGTCATAGAGAAGACTGAATTCCAGGGCACCCAGGGTGGCTGAGGCGGGCAGAGACAAGAACCCAGAGAAAGTTCAGTTGGTCATAAAATAAACATTTCCACTTATGAAGTGCCCAGTCTAGGCTTGGGATTAAGCCTACAGTGGAGAGGAGGACTTGGGACACCCCATCCTGGGAACCCCCTCTTCTCTGGAGCCATCTGCAATCAGTGGTCCTTTAACTAGTGGTGTGGTTGCCCAGTTAATGACTTCCTGTCCTGCCATATTGAGAGTACCATGAGGGCCAGGGTTGTGACTGCTGTGTCCACTGCTGTGCTCCCATTGGGTGCAGGATGGGAAATAGTAGTTTCTCATTTATTTGCTGAAAAGATAACCGAGTCTTAGCATTTGTGGTTCGCTCTGTCTGGAATGCTCTCCCTCTAGATCCTCACATGGCTGGCATCTTCTCCTTATCCATGTCTCAGTTTAAATATCACCTCAGAGGTGCATCTAAAACAGACACCCTCACAGTGACTCTCCCTATTTTATTTCTAGCTCTACAGGAAGCGAACTCACTAATATGTTACTTACCTGTTTCATGCCATTAGATCTGCTATCTTGTCCGCTTTATTTATTCATTTTTTTTGCTACACAATCCCAGCACTTAGAACCATGAGCCACTTACAACTATACCTGCAAAGTACCAATTGCTATCAAGTCAGTTCCATTACGGAAATGGTCCCAGGTGTGTCTGAGTAGAACTGTGCTCCTTAGGGTCTCCAATGGCTAATTTTTCAAAAGTAGTTTGCCAGGCTTTTCTTCAAAGCTATTTCTAGGTGGACTCAAACCTCCAATATTTCAGTTAGCAGCTGAACACATTAACTGTGTGTTCTACCCAGGGACTTGAGACATCTAGTAGGTGCTCAATAAATACTTTTCAAATATAGAATTGAGTGAGGGAGGAGTATAGAGTTGAGTATGAAGACAGACTTGTAATAAATGCCAGGATATGCTAACAACAGGGACAAGCATGAGGTTGAGATGGTGTCCTCTGTCCTTGGTGGGTCAGTAAAGGAGCACTTCGGACAGGTGGAAAGAGCAATGGATGGTAATCCATGGAGAGAACCAACATGGAACAAGGCAAAGGGGGCTGGACACAGGGCATATCTGGAGCAGAAATGGCTGACAAGGCAATTGTGGATTCCAAGACCACAGACTCAGGACTTGTGGGAGCGCACGAGGACAGAGGGTGCGGCTAGACACATCTCCTTATCAGCCTCGGATCAGCTACAGCAAGTGACAGCCTGGCAGCCCCTCCACTCCCTGGCAATGGGATCTTGGATAAATCCCTACACCTTTTAGACTCTCGGTCTACCTGTGTAAGCAGGAACAGTAAAGGCAGCTATTCACAGGGGATTGAAGGACCAAACACACATGAACACACCACGTACAGTGCCCAGCTCAAAATAAGCACTCAATAGATGTTGACTATTATCACCTCTGAGGTCCGTATCACACAGTAGGAATTCCTCATGTCTGCTTGGTGTTGTTGTTGTTGTTATGTGCCGTGGAGTTGGTTCTGACTCACAGTGACCCTGTACAGAATTTCTGAGGCTGTAAATCTTTATGGGAACAGAAAGCCTCATCTTTCTCCCGCGGAATAGCTAGTAGTTTCGAACTGCTGACCGTGAGATTAGCAGCCCGATTTGTAACCGCTATGCTACCAGAGCTCCTTAGCACTGCGCAATGCCCATAAGCGCCAGCGTACAAACCTCAGACCTCCCCTCAGCCTGTGGGAGATGTTGTTCTCTTTTCCACTTTACAACGAGAAGAGGCAGCACAACAGGGGAAGACCATACCGTTGGCTGTGGCCTTTAGTCCATGTATTCTGGGCGGGCCCAGTCTATCCACTTGACTGGGAGTACTTGGATACCCTACCACAGCCCTTGAAACACATATTGGACCCACGTACCCATCCATGCTTCCCTCCAGCTCACAAAGGCCGCCCCAGCTCTCCCCTGCTGCTCCAGGCACACACCGGAGAAGTGTGTGTGTGTGCATGTGTGTGGCAGATGTGGCAGCTGCTCCCCTGGGTAATGGGACTCAGGGTCTCTATAGGACAGGCATAGAGTGGGCATTTACTAAGTTACTGAATGGATGAGTGCAAGAGGAAATGTCCAAGGATTTAAAAATGATGGTTCAAATGATTTGCTGAAGACATAATTTGAAAAGTTTTGAAAACGATTACAATATTTGAATACTTAGGAGTGGAAATGCTGGGTCACATGGTAATTCTGTGTTTAATTGAAAAAGTGTCAAACTGAGCACTGAGAATGTACTTGAACCACTGAAATGTCCACTTTACATGATTAAAATGGTCAATTGTATGTTGTGTATACTTTAGAACAATTTTTTGTTGTTGTTTTAAAAAGCCGCGATTCTTCAGGAAACTAGCATTTTGTGAACTTAGTGATATAAATAGATATTTTTCGCAACTTGGGTAATACATTTTTTAAATCCATGGTTTTCAAGTCGATTACGACTCATAGAGACCCTCTAGGACAGAGAAGCATGCCCCATTGGTTTCCAAGGCTATATACATCTTTATGGAGGTCTGGTATGGTGCCATATGATAAGCACTCGACTTCAAGGTTGGTTAGAACCACAAGGTTAGTGGTGCAAACTCACCAGCCGCTCCTTGGAAACCGTATACAAGGTCGCTATGGGTCAGAATTTGGCTCAACAGCATTTAACAGCAACAACACATCTTTACGGAAGCAGACCGCCACATCTTCCTCCCATGGAGCAGTTGATAGGTTTGAACTGCCTACCTCTGAGTTAGCAGTTGAGCGCTTAGCCACGATACTACTAGGGCTCCTTCAGTATATATACTAGGGGTGGTACGAGGGAGTCTGGGATGTCCGAGGATGTGCCTGGAGCCATTCCTGTTCCGCTGGGGCCATCCCTGGAGCTACTTTACCCGACTCTGCTCAGGTATGTGCTTCCTACTTGCTTCATCCGAATCGTAGCTGTTGGCTTCTTCCTCCTCCTCCTCTGGGGGTGGGGGCTGGTGGGTGGGGGCTGCGGCAGTCGGAGGAGCAGCAGCTGCTGCTTGGGAATAGGGGCTGGATGGGTGGCCCACTCTGTTTTCCCTGGAGGCCCCCATTCTTTCTTCCCGAGGCGTGGCTGTGGCTCCTGGGTAGGTGGAGTCACTCGGAGGCACCTCTGTAGGGGGGTGGGGAGAGGGCAGGAAAGAGGCAGCTGAGCCACAGCTTCACATCAGCAGCAGTGGTGGCTCTAGCAGGCACCTACTGTGCACAAGACACTTTGTAGATGTGCCACCAGGGTCACCCAGAGCTGCTGCACCCTGGTTTTCCCCAGTCAAAGCCACCTAAGGAAGCTTCTCAAAATGCAGGTCCCTGGGTCCCACCTGGTTCTACTGAGGCTGAGTAGTGGGGCCTTGGAATCTGTGTTTTACCACAAGCCACATGAGCTGAATCAGATGTAGGCAAGACAGACCTCACTGGATGTGGGCTCTGGAGCCAGAAATGTGGGTTGCAATCTCAGCTATGTGACCTAGGGCAAGTTAATGTCTCTGAGTCTCAGTTTTCTCTTCTGTAAAATGGAAATTATCATACCTGAAGTTGCACAATGAGAGTTGTCATTATTTTTTTTTTTTTAAGTATATCACATATGTACAGCCCTTAGACCAGGGTCTGCTGTCTTACAAAGCACTGAGTAAGTTGTAGATGTAATCACTGATGATCATGAAAATGATGAGACATAGAGCTCACATGAAATAATCACTGTCTCTTGTTGATGTCAAGTGCATTAAATCAGTCCCAACTCATAGCAACCCTGTCCAGGGTTTCCGAGAAACGGCTGATGGGTTTGGAATGCAAACTTGTGGTTAGCAGTCTAGTGCTTATCCTATAGCACCACACCAGGACTCCTCGCTGTCTCTTACTATGGACTGAATACATTCCAGGCAATGTGCTGAAGTTTAATATGTATTTGTTTAATCCTCCACCATCCCTATGTGGTAGGTCCTTGTATTATTTCCATTTTACAGATGAGGAAACTGAGGTTCAGAGAAGTAATATGACTTTCCCAGGATCACACAGCTAGAAAATAAAGGTGCTGAGGCAATGTGACTCCAACATTCTAATCCATGATGTGAATGGGCATTTCATGTGGAAGTGTTTTGAAGTGGCAGGAAAGTGTGTGACATTGCGTGTGGACGTGGAAAAAGCAGACACTTGCCTGATCTCTGATCTGGAAAGCGTCCTGCTGGCCCAGGGCCAGGTCTGCTGCTTCCTGGGGGTCCTGAGTGGGAAGAGAGAGAAAGATGGTTGGAGAAGAGGCAGTGACACCAATATGTGTTCATTAGCCTCTCCCCTCAGTTTCTGAGCATGGGCACCATCCCAGAGGTAACAGGCAATGTGCAGAGGTAATCGAGACAGTCCTATTTAAAGGCTCTGGGGTCAAGCCCCAGCACTATGGGATCTCCCTGAACCTGTTCATGGTTCACGAGGTTGACAAACAGATGGCATTCATCAAGACTGGACCACTTGTGAGATGGTGGGCATGTTTATATTTTAGGTTCACCACTGGTGTGGGGTCTTTACTGGTCCAGTTGGATTTTTTATAGCTATCTGCAAAATCAATGATTTGTT